TATATGTAGAGTTAGAGTACACACACAACTAACAACGCAAGGTTACGGTGTTGACTAGTCTGTACTGTGGCGAGTAGCACGGCGAATGTGCTTAGTATTTCTTCTTGACACATTAAGAACGGGCAGGTTGTGGCGTGATCACATTACGATACTATATTTATTATTATAGCATGTGGGCTAAAGCTATTGACACTTGACGTCGAGCGGGCAACTTATCTACTCTGGCTGTTGCAGGTGTGGGGTGCTAATATAACGGGACGAGTGAGCTGTGTGTCACTGTAAGTGATCTATGCGCAAGGTGGAGGTGCGTCTTTGTGGGGGAGACAGTACACCACGCACAGTATTTTAAAGTATACGATGATAGTGAGGTGACACATATGTTCAGAGGAGATATGACTATGTGACGGATGACATAAGGTGTAAGAGTCTTTATACAAGGCTCTGCGGGGAGGGAGGATGCTATCTGTTCGAACATAGTGATGCATGATAGCACACAGCATTAAGCGAGTAAATGTGGGTCTGAACAAGCGAAACTTAGATAAATACGCGACTATAGGGAGACAGTGTGTGTGAGATTGTCTGTCAGACGAACTTCATATCGAGTCAGTACCAGTGGGTGATTTGATAAACATGATTGTGTGACGACACGGGATTACAAGATAGTCAAACAGGACTAGGATTTAGCGAGTATGCTGGACTCATGGGTGGTGATTGTTCGTAAAATAATACGGGGACATCTGCAACGGGGTCAGTGGTATGGCATTCAGGGGTGATTGAGATCACACTAGTAGTTTTGACGTGAGGTGGTGCAGGTAGATATCTCTATACACAGCATTATGGATCAGGCTATATATCAGGGTAGATTGCGCACTAATGCGAGCAAACGACGTAAGATTACAGAGCATATGTTCTATGACACCAACGCGAGGGTGACAACTGTATACGTATCGATATACGCATTCTATATGAGTATGTGATCTTGATCTCTTAGATGTTAAGATAGACAGACGAAATTCATATGCGGCATACGTGTGATATCTCAGGGTGTACACGACACTGAGGCTTGTGCAACACACTAGACTGGAGGGCCGGGAAAAAAGGGGTGATTCCAAGAGCATATCAGTGACTTGTAGCGCTAGGGGTAGACGGTATTTCACTATGTAGTACTCTATCAGAGAGCGCAACACAGGTTTACATTACACATATAAATGATCTTCATAGAACGAGTTCAGGGGAGTCAAGATCACATATGGAGTACGGGATGACACAACTAGTACATAGGATGAGAACTTGCAAAGCTTCCATAATGTGTCTGTATGTATAGTGGTAATGGGTCCTATGTATGAAATTGTCATAGGTTATGAGAGAAGCTTGCGGAACGTCTTCAACGTGTAGATCGAAATATGGTTTAGTGACGGAGATGAGAGCGACGGAGTCTCAGACAAGCTATGCAGAGAGACACACTTTACTAGAGAGATAGGGAACGCTACGAGCAGTGAGTGAAACACTTAGTATAGACACTTGGACAAACAGAGGTGAGGTGATGAGAGAGTGAGTGACACACGTGATAACAAACATCCTATATCACATCGTATGCACACTGTTACACCGCGACTGATTGGCGGTTTTGAGCGAGGAGACACATCGAGATTGACGGAGTGGTTAGGTTCACTATAGACTGAGACAACTGTAAGCATGGGGAAGACTGGCTGAGATATGCTAATGTCTATTCTTCATCAGAGTACAATAGTAAGGGGCTTAAAGAGAAACAGTGTCTACAAGGACACGACACGAATAGGAGATGCAGATGAGGGATCTAGTCTATATCGATTTAGTATCATAGACTCTATGTATGAGGTCACTCACAGTGGCAATCCATAATGGGTGGGTGTATATTCTGAGGTAAGTGCTATAGACACAAATAAGAAACACAAGCATTATGAAAATTAGAACACACTTAAGTGGGAGGGGAGTGGTAAGTAAGGGGTTATGCACAGGTATCACTCTCGGGGGTTTATCTCGGAGATAGCTGCACAGTACACTAGACACTGCGTGTTGTGGGACGTGTGGTTATGATAGTGTATAATGGGAGACATTGATCATTGTGGTACACACATGACAGGTAGAGGTGTAGGTTTAACATTAATGCAGCGATAGATAGAAATCTACAAATATATTGTAGACGTGCTGTTTGAAAGACATGGTGAACAATAGAAGGGGGGATTGGTACAGTATCACGACAGATCTGGTATGTACACTCAAACGACATTGTATAAGATTACGGTGTTCATACACAAGTATCAGTCAATGACAGGCGAGGTACAGTCGATCATCATCTGGTAGTACACGGCATGGAACTTGCACAAATTGACGCGCTGTTAGCACTACGGTTTTAAGTGGACAACGAGTAGATTCAGGACATAACAATCATGAGCACTAGGGCAGAGGTGTGAAGACACAGTCACATTGCGGATTGGTATATTTATGTAAGGAACGACACAAGTGTATATCAGGTTAGTGCACATGGAGAACCGTCAAGTTTCTGGTCACAGTAGACATAGACATCGGCAGACGTGTGCGTCTTTATAGCTGAGGGGTTAGCGACAAGGAGGTGCACAGGATACAGTTCACGACTACGATTGGGTATGGGGAGATGATTATAGCATGAGATGTGCTTTATTATATCGGTGATATGAGAGTGGGGGAAATTGGGGGGGGATAGTAAGGGTTGGGGGAGGGTGGGTGAAAAAGGGTTAAGGGGGTAATTGTGTGATAAGGGGGATATATAATGGGAGGGATGGGGTTAGGGTAGGGTGTTTTAGGAGGGGCTGCTGGTGAGAGACATGTGCCAGGGTGTCTTACTCGCAACTGCGTAGTCAAAGTGAGAATAAGGGGATTCGCAGAGGGTGCGATCTGCGTCTAGGTCACACTACAGTTCAGAGGTCTAGTGTTGACACATGAAGTGACAGGCAGATCACTGTGTCGCAGGGATTAAGTATGCAAGAGTTTAAAACTGGGCGGGAGACAGATGGTGACTCTTTGGGTCGTGTCAGGTCACACACTTACATGTGGAGGAATGCACAGTGGGACATCATGACAAGGGTATATGTGGATGTAGGGGGCGAGATTACTCTGTTATCGTGTGTGGGCTGAGGGGAGGGTGGTGACAAAGAGATATTCTTGTACTATCGAGAGTGACGTGCTGTCACAGGTGTCAGTACGTTCGAGTGCGTGATGCTAAATGGGGTCTTGCACAGAGCTGTAGACTTGATATCGGCGAGATTCGTAACGTCATAGGAGCTAACTTGAGCGACACAGCTCTTTAGGGTCACACACGAACTTTGTGAGAGCAGAATATGTAAATAGGATTACCTACGTTACCTTCCTCATATACAGTGGCAGAACCGAATGACTGACGCTGCAGTTCATTATCTACTGGATGGCACTAATTACCCCGGTGTCTCATAGATGTACCTGTTGAACTATTTCGATCACTTATGAGCCGGTTTCTCCGTGTACGGCGTTCTCCAATACCGCGTCAAGCTGGATCAAACGCCGAGGTGGTCAGTCGGTGATGTGGCAGAGGCGTATGAAGAAACTCGCTGAAAGGCTGTATCGTCCTCCCGGATGCGAGGCCTCTTTAGGGAATAAATACTCTATCGGAAATGCAGTAACTAAGTCAGTGCTGTTGCATTCGTTTTATTATTTAGATAAATAAATGGTACAGTAGAATGTAACAACTTTTCGAGAAGCTAGTCCTAAGCAGGGTCGGATCCAATGTTTTACGGGTTTTTTATGTTCTCTCATTATGTTAAATAAATATGTTCCAGTGCACAGGTTTGGGACAGGAGTATCAAAATAATGAAAGTACGGATGTACGATTGAATACCTTCATGACATAACTTCTTTTCTTCACAAAAGACAACCGATGCTTATGGAAGTTTCAACTTCTCATGTTCCCTTCATCGCTTCCGGAGATGGCATCCATGATAAATTTTGTAGAAATAACCGAATATAACCGAAAAGTACAAAGTTATGTATAGTCGGTGTATCGATATGTCAGCATGGAAAGGTAAGTAAACGCTGGGTAAAAATAGTATAACATTTTTGATTAACTTTTGGAATTTCCGAAACCGGCATCGGCATGGCCGTTAACCACTCCCTCTTGCGATGTTAACTCTCGTTTATCCTTCTCTGATTATTATTATTATTATGCTTGCGAATTGTATCGTGGCAGCTGGATCCACCGCACTATGGGGCACCGGGAAACCGAACTGTGTGTCGTTTGACTTCCTAATTGATGATGGATGTGGTTACACTAAATCTTAACCGTTTCACTGGATAAGTTAATTTTAGTTTATTTATTTCTCATTTTCACTGAGCATTTCATTCTATAAATGTCTTAGTTTGCATTTACCGTTCTGTACCGCCACATCTCAATGCCGAGTTTCCCTTTGTCGTATCTGCTAGGACACTTTCTATACTCGCTTAGTTGCATCCGGCGAAGACCTACATTTGTAACGTCTGCCCTAACATATAGAACCTCGCCTCAAGAGTGCCCTTCAGGGTATTTAAGTTAAAATGCATTACCATGTTTATATACAAAAGACGTGTAGTCATCGTATTCGTCTTTGGTCCGAAGCCTTACGTATCACTACCCTGCCTTGTAGTCCGTGGGCGCGGGTTGCAGCTTGTCTAGGGTACCGGGTGACCCGCGCAGTATCCTTAGATCACGTGCGACTGGTGGTGGTTACGCGGTAGCGATCCGTCGGTGCCACGTACTGGCGTACTGCTGATGCCTTACTTCTTTCCTTTTATTGCTCTCTTGATATCTCCCCCGCCAGCTTGCAACCTGTTTTTGATGTTCATTGGCTTTCTGTTCTTTGCCCAAGGGATTCACTTTTTTGGCCTTTGTTTCTCATTTCTTGTCACGTCTATGAAATAGTGCTGCTGGTTGCTTTCCTGGCTGTCTTCCTTTCCTGACGGACACCGATTTTCAGCTTTGCTTACTCGTTCATTTTTAGAGCAGCCTTTCACGTATTTAATGAGTTTGCTGATGCCACAATGCACTTCCCGATTTCAGTTCTTTGACTCCCGTCTCCGTCGTCCACCAGATCCAAACGCCGATGCGTTCGAGTCCATTTGCTGGTCTCTCCGTGCTTCATGCAAAAGGCACGGAAGTAAAAGAGTGAGTCGTAATACTGGCTCTCCGTATCCACTCACTCCGCAGCCCATAGCACTTACTCTGAATGGCTCCAGTTTACCTCGGTTCCAATGGACTTCGGATTCAAGTGGAAAACGTCGCGGCGGCAGTGCTGTCAACTTCGGTTCCGAGCAGTGGATTCGCTCAAAGAAAATCAAGCATCCTGGTGCACCCTGTTTCTTGGACGATGCATGGACACTGGCCGAGGACAACAAAAAAGTCCCCTCAGTTTCCCACGGATATTGGACGAAGTGGTCCCGGAAAGTATGCCCCTTTTTGATGCCAGTGCTTTACTGCCTCCAAAGTTGTTGAAAGATTAAGCTTGTTACCTTACTCTTTCAATAATGAACTAGTATTTTAAGTCCCACCTATTACTTTTGCTATTCACTGAAGCGTACTTTCCCCGCATCAGCCCCCCACTTACTCATCATTCGCTTTATGCACATTTGTGTGTCCCTCTCTGGTAGCTTATACCCAGCAGTTACTTTTTGGCGATATATTAACAGTACTTTATAGTGTTCGGTCTGGCAACCGGGTAGTATCGCGCCCACTGATGAATCATGAACGGACAACACTACTGTTTTCTCTCTTGCTATGTCTATTTACCCTACTGCTGAATCTCCACTCACAGATCGTCCCACGTCCAATTATTCAACTACACTTATGTTCACCCCGGTCACTGCTAACAGCAGCTCACTGGTCGCACCTGACGTAAGTCAGAGTCAAACTCATGGTGTTCGATGCCCGGTGACCACAGCCTTTACACACTCCAATGAAGCCCCAGCTTTTCCTCGACCCGATTCTCCATTCAGCCTCGCAGCGTTCAATGTTCGCACTCGAATGCAGATCGGACGACAAGCATGCCTGAGCCGCACTCTTGGAACGCTCTCGATAGACATATTTTGCGTAGCAGAAACTAGATTGCAAAGCTCCACTGCCGTCATCAGAATGGCCTCTCTTGCAAACCCTTACGTCAAATACCATTTGCGCCTGTCCGGTGACACAGAGGCTACCGCTTCTGGCCAGGCGTGTGTTGGGGTTGCTCTGAGTGATAAGGTTGAGTCCGCTCTGCTTGACTGGATCCCAGTCAACAGTCGGCTATGTGCAGTTAGACTTCGAGGTTCATGTAAGTTAACTAAGCTTCAAGATGTTACACGCGCTTTATTTGTCGCCTGCCTACGCTCCTACAAATTGCCTCCCGGATACAGTCAAGGATTGCTTTTATCAATAACTACATGACTTGCGTTCCGCTAAAAGTCTGATATTGTCATTCCTGCCGGAGACTTAAATGCACGAGTGGGCCGCCTGACACCAAACGAGCACCATCTTGGAAGTGGTTTTGGCTTCGGTGGTAGTCGATCAGACAATGGAGACAGACTGCTGACTCATTGTTCTGATCATTGATTATTTCTTTCCAGCGCCAGATTTGGACACTCGAAGAGGCAGACTGCTGCCTCGCACATGCCTTCTCAAACGCATGAGTAGTCCCAGCTTGACCACATCGCGATAAGCTACAGATGGCGTGAAAGCGTATCAGACTGTCGTTCGCATTGATTCGAACTAAGTTATGCCTGCGTTTCGGAGAACCGCCTAGGCGTACGCACTACCGCCCGAGCGTAGAAAACCTAAAGGACCCTACGACGTTAGACAAATATCAGATCTCTCTATCAACACTGCTTACCCCAACGTCTGACAATGACCTGAATTCACAGTGGATGCGCATCAAAAATGCTTAAGTTTCTGCCAGCATTGATAGTTGCGGAATCACCAATCACCGGCCGAAAACCTGGATCACTGATGTCTCCTTGTCGCTGATGAACGGACGCCGCTCGGTCCTGGCCGATTCTAGCTGTAGTGATGAACGATGTTCCCTAGATCGAGAATTGCTTAGGTGTCTACAAAAGGACTGTGAAACCTAGTGGTGTGAACCCGCTAGAGAGATGGAACTTGCTAGTCTTTCTAATAATACCAGAAAACGTTCCCATCTTAGCCGAGCTACCGAATGTTTATTATCTGGAGTAACCGAAATGATCTGCGAATAGAATGGCCCACTAATCATTAATCTTCAACGACGGTTGGAACGATGGGCTGAACACTTTGACTCGCAGTTTTGCTGGCCACCAGCTCCATCTTCTTCCTATGGAGCGCTCACTGTTGCTGAATGGTCCGTCCCCACAGATCTTGCTCACCAGGAAATCTGGCAGGAACTCCGCTTCTCGCAGGTCTACAAAGCACCGAGCCCTGATGACTTACCTCCCGCCCTATTTAAAGATGCCGACTATGTGCTGGTTCGACAACTCACTGCTTTGTTCTCAGTCGTCTGGCTGAAAGTGGGGGTTCCATCATCTTGGGGTGAGTCGATAGTCGTCCCCATCTTCATAAAGAGCCTGCGCTCAATGTGCTCCAACTACAAGGGTATCAGCTTGATTCCCGTCGTTTGTAATTTTCTGGTGTCCATCGTACCTCGAAGGCTATCTCCAATGCGCGAATCGCTACAGCGGGAAGAGCAGGCTGTGTTCCGCTCTGGCCGCGGCTGCATCGGTCAAATCTTCATACTCCGTCAAATTCTCGAGCTCCACCATGTGTACCAATAGCCAAAGACTGTCGTGTTCCTGGATTTCCGCGCTGCCTTCGATTCTGTCATTTCCGTACTGCGTGCTATGTACAGTCTAACCTCGGCTTATGGTAACCTTTCGCCTTCCTTTGTTGTCACCAGTGGAGTTCGACAATGATACCTTATCTCCCCATTCCTTTTCAATTTTGCCATTGGGGATGTCCTAAAGAATGCTCTGGATAATTCGTTGAGCGCTGGCTTTGAGCTCCTCCCAGTTAGCCGAGTTGCTGACTTGAAGTACGCTGATGATATGGCCTTGCGGGGTAACGGTCCACAGACAGTCCAGTTTGCACTCAGCCGCTTGGGGATTGAAGCGTCCAAGTTTGGGATGGCTTTTTCCCTAACCAAGTGCGAAGCTGCTTTCCAAGACTTTAAGATGTCTGTACCTGCGCTCACTCTTAGTGGTGAGGCAGGAGGTTACGGAGAGTTTTACCTACCTGGATGGCTGCATCACAGCCGGTGGAGCTGTTGGAGACGAGATTTCGTTGCGTATCTCAAGTGTTCGCCTCGCTTTTTCTAAGTTGAGGGACTTGCGGCGCCGTCATGACGTCCGTCAAAGAACGGGTTTATTGTTCGACTGTCCGCGCTGTACTGAGCATCGTTGCTTGCGGTCCATTGCGCGTGTGTGGTGGCTGCACCACATAACCAATGTGGTAGTTAGACAGCGTGTCTTGGGTGGAGGCAGCCACTTGCTTGAGGAGCTCGTCCCGCTGCGTCAACTGCGATGGCTTGGACACGTACTGCGCATGCCCGGTCATCGTCTTCCGTGTTGGGCGTTGTTCGCGGTTGCTGGACAGAACTGGAGGAGACGGCGCAGTGGACCACCTACAACGTGAAAAAAGCTGACGAAACAATTGGCCTCGGTCGGTTGTTCTCGACTCCCTGGTCGGGATTTCAGTGTCGGTAGCTGAAAACCCTAGAAGTCATGGCTCAGGACCGACGTCAATGGCGGACGTGTATATCTGCATGTTGCGGTGCTTTCCCTTCCCCAATAAAACAAACAATTAAAAACAACTCAAAAACTGTGTGAAAACTGCTGAAAAATGCTGCATGTTCTTTTTCTTGCTATTCATATCCTGTTTTCTTATTCCACCATGATTCTTGTGGCAATATATATATATATATATATATATATATATATACATATATATATATATATGTATATATATACAGTGGTTGCGCGGCAGCGAAGCGTCAATACTGCGTACCGGCGTACTGCCGGTGCCCCCTTTAGCTGTTTGGAATAAAGTCATGAACATAGTCCACCTTAAACGTTCCTCATTTGCACACATTGAGGTTAATGAAAGCGGCATCCTTTGTTCTCCAACTCTTGCTTTTCCTACAATTCCTCTTATCGATTGTGTACCTGTTCACATATTGACCAGACACCTGATCAGGACAAGTTTCTGAATTGAGGTCTGGAAGCCTTTCAACGCTTTATTCAGTTATCCTCGTTACCTAAAACCCACCCAGTGCGTTACCTCATTTTCCTATCGAATTTCCTTGTGTGAGTGGGTGCCTAAGCAGCGGCCAGTATCTCTCCATGGGACAAGAAACTTGTATTAGTCAGAGTTTCCGAGACTGAATTCCGTCGGTTGCCTTCCTTAACTACCGGGTTGGCCATGGAATCCCGAACTCTGCTGAAGGATCGCCCTTCCTATGTGCCTAAAAGCACATTTTGGACTTGGTTTATTAAGAGCCACTTAGTTTTCGGTGTTACAACAAGCACCGATGATGCTTGGGGCTTTGGTTACTCGATGTGCCTCCGGTCTGGATAGCACGAAGGGTCTCTAGTCTCCTTTCTTCTCCATCTTTTTTTGAATATCCGGTAATTCATTCTCATGTTGAGTCCAGATGCAACTGTAGTATTCTTTGTGTGCTGCTTCAGCCAACCGTTACCTTTTACCTTACATAATGTACCGTTCTGTGGTTGTTCCTATTCCCGCTGTTTGCCGACTTCGATGAAATAACGAACAGCCGCAGCATAGATCGGCAACTTCCACATTTACTTTTAGTCTTTCGGTTACCATCCTGATCGGAGTGTTTTACGTACGACGAACTTGAGCTGAAACGGGAAGGGGAAGCACTAGCTGGTTTCTTTGATTCTGTAATCACTGGATTTTCATTTGTACTACACCCTTCGCTTTGGTGGGGCACTGGCAATATCGTGGAAGGAAGAAGCTCCGAGTTACAGTCGTATGGCTCTACTGGTTCGTTACACCACTCTCTATCCCGAGTACTTTGCTTAACTTTGGATAACAGAGTACTTACCTCCCGCCAGACGGAATCCTCTTCGTTACTTTAACGGTATCAGTTTCAAACAATTGCCGTTACTTCTCTGTTACGCATTCACATTCATGTTTAACTTATCGAGTGAATGTTTTCCGTCCATGTCCCCTTAACTTATTTTTCTACCTAGCCAGTTTTCTGTCTACGTTTAGCTCATGGTTTTGGGGCTAGTATTGCTAGTTTGCACTTCTTACCTTTGATTTCCTCATTTCTCAGTTCCGGTCAGATACGTGCACGCTTCGAAATTTGTCTCTTTCAAAAGTGAGTCTGTATTTTACGCATACAATCAGGTCCGTTTATACCGAAAAGCCTCGCTTCTTGATTGCGCCCATACTCCCCTCTTAGTCTGTAGATGTTACAATCAACAGACTACCCTCTTCTCTTATTCTGTTTGGCACACAATGGTTGCGTTTAAACCTTGGATATCGGTAGATGGGTATGCTCGAGATTTATATCGCCCTCTTCTCTTGTCAACTCTCCTGGGTTAAGTAAACGCGTTGTCCTACTTCCTTGAATCATAGTTGTCCTCATCATCACACTGCTGTGTACAAATGTAGGAGCCGTTTGTCTATTCACTTTCATATTTCACCTACTTCATAGGCCGGTGGCAAACGGGTCGTTCTCTTGTGTTTTCTAGCTTACCATCCACATCGCTCATGTTTTGCTGTCGTAGAATGGTTCGGATGATATCACTGATGAGTGTGTTTACCACTGACATCTCAAGTAACTTACTCTCATTCCATCGAAATGAAAGTTGTGGTGGGGCGGGATAAGTCGCAATAAGACTGCACCTTAACATTATGCGACGGCTTGCGTACCTCTCGACCTACTGGGTGGGACCCTCGGACCCTTGAGAGCTACTCCTACCAGGTTGGTGAATGACTGATGGTCAGACGGACTAGGTCTCCTAGTCTTCCAGGTTAGGGGTTGAAAAGCGGATGGTGTCCATTTCTGTAAAACCGCATAGCTTCCATCCACGTGCTGTTTTGCGGACAGGCGTTTGAGCCAAAGACTTTGATTGAGGACGCTAATCGTTCTCCTGTCTAGGTCTGGGCGCCCTGGCAGTACCCCACCCCCTGTACAACCATGACTATTCCTTCAAACTCCTACCATATCCTGCATCAGCCGTCGCTCTGATTATAAAGTGTCTCAGGGCGGTTAAGCGAAAACATGCTACTGCCGATTCCCTTTTTCTTTGCCACTTTTTTTCTTACTCCCTTCCCAACCGCCATTACTAACCCTTCTTATATAATTCCCAGCTGAATTGACGGCAAATGCAATGCCACTGGAATCACACCATCTGCGGTTATTTTCCCACAGTACCCACTGGACTCCTATCGACAGCAGTCTTTTTTGTGCCAAATTGTCCCGTTTTCCTGACGGCGTTCAACGTTCGCATTTTATGACAAAAGTCAATAGACTTCACTCGCATCCACATCGAACACATCGAGTGTCAACATGTTTTGTTTGTTAGAGACGGATCAATGACCCTCACGTGGTCGTTGAATTAACTGCACATGACTTGCCCCCTCCCTAGTGGTTTAACGCGTCCGGAGATGCGGATACGAAACCTCTGGTTATGCCGCGATTGGCATCGTTTTCAACTACAAGGCTGGGTCATCACTCTTGGATTGGATTCTCGTGAGAAGCAATATGCATGCAGATTGTTCTGCGGTATCAGATAAAGTTGGTTCACTAAATAGTACTAGAAGCTGTTCGTTTATGGTTGCAGCTTATGTCCCCACCGATTGCTGTTCTGATCCTGTTAAGGATGCCTATCACGAACTGAACACGCTGCTTCACAGCGTTATCAGTTTAGATGTCATAGTTGTTCCAGGGGTGTGAATGCACAACTAGATCGTCTGAGCTCTTCAGAATCTCAGCTGTGGTAAGCATCGGCTTTACTTATAACTTATGAACAATCGCAAACGTCTGTTGCAACTGCGCACGGAGCACCGACTGTTTCTTAGTAGCGCCGCATTTAGGCATAATGGGCGCCCGAGTGCCACTTGGCCTCTTCCGTTAGCTGACTAGCGATGGACCAAACTAGATCGCGTTGCCATAAGTTACAGGTGGCGTGGTTCCATTCTGGATTGTCGCTTATTCTGGAATACCTGCGACGATTCTTATCATGCTTTGCTATGCTGTTGTCTTCCTATAATCTTTACCGGGAGGCCTACCAAACGTCTTCGATTGACAACTGTTATGTTATTCAGAAGTCTGTGTAAGCGAACATATGTTTTCGGTAATTCTTCATTAGGTTTGTACAATTACATGAAATGCAAACTTTTTGTATACAGACCCAACAGGTCGTCAGTCAACCAAATTGATTTTAGTGCGCTGTGACACACCTTCGGTTAGGTTACAGTTGTAGTCGTACGTGCGTACAGGTCAACTGCAGTCCGTCCTGGCCAAGGTAGGCTCAACGCGTGAGTGAACCGTTTCTGTGTGCACAGTGCTGGTTCGTACAGCCGAATGGCGATGGCTTCTGCAGCGTCTAACATCCGTTTACGGAAATACCTTGATCGATTTTCTGGGGCCTGATAGATTACTTTGAATGAGTCAGCCGACTTGGTGGCGTAACCCGTATCCACAAGATGCGTGGCGATGGCAGAGTTGGTGACCTTTCGGCCTCCATTTCCGAGCCAGGCCGGATGGTGTTCCTTCACCCTTTCGGATAAGCGTCTTGTCGTACGACCAACGTATCGTGCTCCACAGGAACAGGTAAATGAGTTTACACACATTGATTTGGCATGGACAGGCAGCTTATCCTTGAGGTTTAGTCTCACCATTGGGCTGCTGGTGAACCGGATTTGCAACCTCGCCGCTGAGATGGTATTCCTGAGTGTGGACGTGAGACGGCGGGATAGATTCTCGGATACTATTTCCCCTTTGTAAGGCAGTTGTAGGAAAATAGGTTTCCGTTCCGCCGTCAGGACCAAAGGTGCTTCCCTGTTTCGCCCCATATTCGCATTAATAAAATTCTCTTGGTAGCCATTCTCTTTTAGTGTCGCTCGTATTAAGTGCAACTCTTCGAAAAGAGTATCCTTCGAGCAGATTCTTTCGGCCCGATTCCAGTCCTCGACCAAGCAAATCTACCAAGATGCACTGCGTACGGAACTTTCGCTCTCTCATCCTAATAACACAGCTTCAGTGGAATAGGACCTCTGCTTCCATGCATGATGCGAGAGCCTGTGCTTGCGGCTCTATCAATCGTCACCACAGGAATCACTGGATATTCGAATGGCCGGGAAACCTATTGGAATCCATGTGAAAACTCCCTGCTGGCTTCGATAACAATGTAACCAGGCGGACTATTAGGCGCGAACTAAGGCGGGACCTGTGTGCTGACAGGGAAAGCTGGTGTACCAGTAGAGTACAAGAAATGAAGGAGGCGAGAACAGTAGGCAGTTATCCACACGACTGATTCCGGAATACCAGGCTTCTGTGAGACGATTATAGCTAGAGCGTTTACCCTAATTCACAATGTGATACGTTGCGTCGCTCACTGGGTATAACACTTCGAGAGTAGTTCAGTTGTCGCCCTACCCCTGGGTCTCCTACTCAGGTGGTGTAGGCTGAGCCACAGCCAATTAGTTTAGAAACTCCATCGGCGGATGAGGTTCGAAGTGCGATCACATTACTTAACCGTTTTCGAGCTCCTGCCGCGGATTCCTATGAACCCGCAGTGTTTAAGGTTTGGAGTGTCCTGCTCTTCAAAGCATTCACCTCCGCGTCCGAACAGGTCTGTACAAAAGTGACCATCCCAACTAACTTTAGTGAAGGTCATATCTCACAGAGACAATCCGCACTTGACGTTCTTTGCGATGATGAACAAGCCCGTTTTATGGAGTACGTGCGCAACTTGACCACCAAGCTAGTGCCCAAGAAAGGATTTATCCTGCAGAAAACACTAAGTACGACGAAATCTTCAAACAAATTTCTATCAAATCCTGAAAGGTATGTTTACAACTGGTGCAGCGTGCACTTGGACACGTTACAAATGGAAGCGCTTTCATTTGGGGTCTTAAATTTTGCCACCCACAGAGAAAAGATCACTGACTAGCAATTGAGACTCAGTTTGATTATCTTAGCAACCGGGCCAATGACTTGGTACCCGCTTCCAGTACCATTCTCGAACCGTTTAAGTTAGACTTGGTCAACATCTCCTTTCAGTATCAAACGTACCCCATGACACACTCCGGATGACTAAGAAAGACACACCTTAAAACCATAAATTTGGGTAGAAAGAAGATATCGTTATCACCAAACCGGACGAGGGATCAGGAGCCGTGATCGGATCGCACAGAATAAGTGAGAAAAATGGAAATGCTCCTCTCGGACTCTTTCAGATTTGTGCAGTGTGAACAAGAGTACGATACAACGGAATACACAGTAACACAATTAACAAAATATTTGAAATCGCTAGTAACTGAGGGCTATATGACTAAAGAAAAATGTATAAAAAACAGACCCACCGGATCGATCATTCCTAGGCTTTGGCCTACCAAAAATACACAAACCAAGTGCACCTTTGCGACCGATACTGCACATGAGGTACTCGCAATATCACAGCATCGTAGGATGGTTAGCAAATATACTTGATCCTATCTGGAAAATGATAGGTCCCCGTCAGCTAACAGATACGTTTCAGTTCGTTGAACATGTAAAACACATGAACATCCTAGGCTATCGAATGGTTTCTACGCGCATAGCACGTGCAGAGTGAGGGCTCGGCAAGCTATCGCCGCCCTTCAATATCTTCAGCGGTGTGAGACAAGGATGCTCGCTGTCACCTTTCCTCTTCAACTTCGCTATTGACGAAGTCATGGAGATTGCATTTACAGAACATGACTTGGAAGGTGTGGAGCTACTCCCAGGAGAACGACTTCTTGACTTGGAGTATGCAGACGACATTGCCCTCATCTGTGACAGCTCCCAAACGTGCCAAGCCGCGCTGTACAGATTAGTACTGGCTGTCAGCCGCTTCGAGCTTTCCTTTGCACCATCGAAATGCAAAGCGTTCCTCCAAGATTGACAGGGATCGCCTCCTTCGCTGACCTTTGGTGGGGATCAGCTAGAAGTCGTTCAAAAATTCAACTACCTGGGAAGTTTATCAGCGCCCTTGGGATCGAAGACGAGATCACGAGCAAAAGCTCAAAGTGCTTTTGCTAACCTTCGCCACCTATGGCGGCGGCGCGACATTACTCTCACCCTGAAGGGTAGAGTGTACAATGCAGCGGTACGTTCGACCTTACTGTACGGTTGCGAAACCTGGTCCCTAAGATCGGCCGACATGAAGAGGCTAGTTACGCTCGATCATCGTTGCCTTCGCAGTTTGGCTCACATCTGATGGGAACACCGCGTGAGTAATGATCGTGTCCGACGCCTTGTTTACGGCACAGGAAAAGGAACTGAACTGTTTAGCACCGTCATTTCACGCACCAGGCTCCGATGGCTGGGCCACATGTTGCGCATGCCAGTCCACCGACTCCCACGACGTGTGCTGTTTGCTCACCGGGTATGTGGATGGAAGAAGAGGAGGGGTGGCCAAGCGATGACTTAGTTCAGAGGAATGAGGGCTCTCATTTCGGAGCTGACCTCGGTTGGAGCGTCACGGCTCCCTGGTTGGGGTTCAAAAGACGATGAACACGTTTGCTGGATACACTTGCTGACATGGCAAGGAGCCGACCTCAGTGGCATTCGTGCTGTGAGTTTCTTTGTCCCTCCCCATCCACCTACGGTCTCATTTCGTAGCGCGACATAATAATTTTTCTTTTTGCCTAGTAGCCGGCTGGTAGCTTACCGGAACGATGCCTATCCGTTGTTGGTAGCTCAGCTGGCATGCAACTGTTTTATTTATTTTCCTGTTCCGTTATATATTGCGGCACAGTAGCTGACGTGTTTCCCACCTCTAGCTGACATGTGTAATGATGAATGGTTTCGCTGGACATCTTCTCGCTGTTCACCCATATCCCTTTTTTGCTGGAAACACAGCCAATTTTTTCTTTGTGCCTATGCCCACTAGCACAATATACAAGCATCAAGATAACAACTATCCACCTAGAGTAGCTGTGTTATTCAGATGCATCTATAGCATCCAATTCCATTTCAACAATGGATTATATAGACAAGTCGACGGAGTAGCTATGCGTTCGCCTCTCGAGCCATTCTTAACTAATGTCTCCATGGGCGTGCTAGAGGATGGCTCAGTAAAACCAACTATTAAGAGCTTATGCTTCTACCGACGACATATTCTGTATAAGCGATCGAACCAACAGTCTTTAGTCGAGAGTTTCAACAAAGCTCCTCTCAACGGCTCATTCACAGAGGAAGGTGAAAGTAACAACCAACTGGATTTCTTGGATGCAGGCTTACGGAGAAAGGTGACGGATCACTATAGATAGGAGTATACAGAAAGCCATACTGGATAGGGAAATACACGCATTTTCAGAGCCGCAAAAAACATTGGTACACACTGTGACAAATCGCGCGCAAGATCTTCAGCGAGGACGCACTTGAAGATGATCTGAGGCGAATCAAACAGACGCTTCTCGAAAACGGCTACCCAGAACGCTTCATTGCTGTCCATATGAGACCGAGCAGTCCGAGATCCACCATGCAAACGGTTAAGAAGAAACAGTTGTTCCTCTTACTTCCTTTTAAAAATGTTATGGTGGCTGAATTATGTTCAAGACGACTGATGCGAACTTGCAGATCGACTTCTAACGCAGATTAAGTTAACTTTGTCTTTACGGCCAAATCGCTACTTGGTCCTAGATTCAAAGATAAATTGCTTGATCAACTCCAATCCGTGGTTATCCGCCGATTCACCCGCTTCTGTGGGGACAGATACATTGGACGGACCAGGCACTAAAAAACGCGAATCAAGGAACGTTTGCCGAATTCGCCCATCAATCAGCGTAACAGAGGTAACTTGAGTGTAATAACAATTTACTTGATTTGCACGGGGCATCAAATTGACAAACGAACTGCTTTTAAAATCCTGTATAGAATGTTGCCGCAACTAAGTCACCGGTTAGGAGCACGACTACTTGCTACCGCCGAAGCGGTGTGCATTAGATTGACAAGACCGAATCTGTGCATTCAGAAAATACTTATCAATGCAGTCCGCCTACCTTGGTCAGTGACCAATCAAGACGTATCGGATCATGCCCAACGGCACCACGTGCCTTCAATCACTTGATCTCCTGATGCATGTCACGATAGCCGTTTAAATTTGTCGAATCAGTTTATGTTCTTTCTGCTAAATCAATAATAGTGGTAATATGCAAAAAGGATAGTCGCATCGAAAGTGCTAACCTTTCTGCGCATGTGGTGACAAAAGTACTGACCGCTGTTCTTGTTGGTGGCTTCAGTGCGGAACGGGAATCCCGGATTAAGGAAAAGCAGGTAGGTTTCCGTCCGGGACGTGGCTGTATATACGATATTTTCATTCTTCGACAGTTGTTAGAACAAGCATATGTACCGAAGACCGACAGTGCCCGTGTTTCTCGAATGTACTGCGTGCAACTCAGTCGATCGATGCACTTTGTTAAGATAGATTTCGCGGATATCTTTGGCAACTGGTGTCATTCGCCAGCTTAGTTCGATTTCCCCATTTTTGTTACACTTGTTGACTCCTTTGGCCCTTGATAGCGAGGTACTCGAGGTGGTTGATCGACTCACCTTCGCAGCTGCACGTAAATGTTCATGTTTCTTCACGTATTGCAGAATCTATAATAGCCATCCTGAATCGGCGATGTCTACCGTGTCAGAAGAGTGTTTCCCTCGGTCTGGAAGGCATGTGTACAAGACCACAGTAAGGCCGGTCCCACTCTGTCGCACTGAGATTTGGCGCCATCGGTCCGAGGATCTGAAGCGCCTTAAAATCTTTGCTGACCGCTGCCTACGGGCATTACTGATGTCGGATAGCATCAGCGTGTTCGCAATGATTATGTGCGTAGGCCAGTGCTGGGCAGTGATAAACAGGCTAGTTCTTTGGAACGAATATCAATAAATAAGTTGTGTTGGTTTGGGCACGTACTACGTATACCTGGTCAGTGCTTACCTAGGAAGGCCTTGTTTTGTTTGTTAGATGTAGGGGCGCAGGTCACACTCTGTAACAGCGAGAAATGAAGTCACTGATGACCAAACTCGCATACGTCGGTCCATCTCATCTTCCAGGATGGAGACTACGTGATCCGCCTTGTCTTTGGCTCGATACGTTACAGGACAAGGCTCGCGGTCGACACCGGTGGCGCGTCTGCTGTCGTCCCCTAGTCGGACCGCCTATTTAAAGTGTATTTACCGCTTATTTATCTGCGGGGTAATGGCAGGTGAAAGCCGTAATGAACCAGTTTTGCCGCTACCACCTTATCTGCACGATGTCCAGCTTTTTGTGTTGATATGTTCTTGACAAGGTGTAGGCATCTTGACCCTGAATGTTTGCTTAGGTCATTTGAGTTTTACTCATGATCCTTCTTCCTTTCCCCTCAGTGTTCTACATTCCGCAAGATCATTAGGGCACAATAATGTGTTGTTCACCTTGTGTCAGCGTGTGATGATGAATTATTCTGATGATGGCTTAAATCATTGTGGTTGTATGGAAGCGAATCACTAATACAGCTAGTGATGACGATGAGTCCATAGTGATAATACGCTCACTCGCGAATTCGCGTATGTGATACCTCTAAGACATATGTACACTTGTTGTGGGCTAAAATTTTGTTCTACTGCGCCACATGTCAGTAGTATAGAAGTACCAAGGAAGCCAGGCAGTAACAGGTCAACAGCTGACAATACCATCGTCCCATCAGAACAACACTTCTTTGGGGCCGGAGATACATGTGCTGTAGGATTAGCTACAGAAGCACAGCGCGCCACACAGCTTACTGGAGAGAATTTGAAGATGAGTTTAACGGTTTGTTATCACAGCTGATGCGTATATTTCATGCTATTTTCCACAATACCTAACTCGCATACTAGGCCTAAGGTAATGAAAGGTTCACTTTTAATGCAAGCAACTGATGCCGGAAAGATGGCTGATGTTGGGTGCAGGAGTGTCCGTTTTTTCCCAGATCAAAGACCTGCGAATTTACTGATGTATCTTAGGCGGTATAATCTCTTAGCTTCACGCGAAGTGGTGAACATCACTGGTAGGTGAATCACGCAGACAAGGGGTCCACATGCATCGTAACCGTCTGTGATTACTACAGTCGAACAGATCTTACTAAACGCTATATATCTTACGTTTCTCAATATGTTAACTCCTGAGCTCCGAAGATTCACACAGACCATGCAGATAGGCGCAATAGCCCGTTGTTTATCTGACCACTAGAGCTGACTCAGCTTCCCTAAATAGTGGATAGGCGTAGCTGAACAGTGGTTTTGCTAGAGTTGAATCATGTCTGTCCAGTTTGGTTTGACGCAGCTGTTTTCGTTCGGTGATCTGCTTTGTGGGTGCAGATTGTCTTAGATTAGTATTGTTATAGTCACTGTCCATCGCCCTGAACACGCGTTATCATGCATTTGCGTTCTTACTTTACTTAGATCTCCGTGCACCACTGTCCTCAAAGTTATGTAGTGTTTATTATTGGTTCAATAACTGTTTTTAGCTGTATGATTTCCGTTTCCCCACATGGATACGACATCCGTTTTCCCATTCAGCCTCCTTACGTTCATATTCCTTGTTTCGTTGTTTGCTCCCCTACTGAGTTCCTGTACTGTTTCATGTGTTCAAAATTTCTGTTCCATAGGATATCCTTCCACACAAGGATTCGCCAAGTCAGACGTCTATCGTCACCACAAGCATTTCCAATCTGCGTGCACATGACGACAGGCGACCACAGACGCATCTTTCTTGCACACATGGTCTTTCATCAGTTAACCACAGTGCTTACACGGAGAGAAGGTAGACCGCCAACCAAAGTCTTAAGTTATCTGTCCGATGTGAATTTTCATACCATAGCTACTTTCATCTCATCACTCCTTATCCATGTCTCAAAACTGCTTACAGTTTGTAGACACATTTCTTCAATATTGGCTTCTTTTTCGTCTCTAAGTGCTTGTTTCTGTCTGCTATATGGGTCGCGGCGTGCGTTTCCTGATTTACCTGTCACTGTAAACGCGAACAATCACAAGATACTTGCGCCTACGGATGGACCATTTGTGGCTTGCGCTGCACCACCCACAGCTCCATCCACACACCACATATCCAATGTGAACCCGACGGTATAAGACCGGGGGGCATGCAGATGGGAGACACGATTGATTCGGAATCGGTTGACACATGCACATCATTTGCATGCATGGAGGGAAATGCACATACCAGATCGCGGGGGTATCAATGGGAAAACGCTGTCAGTCATGCATCAGTACGAACAAGTACACGTACAGGCTAACTGCAGCGACGACGCAGCACACTAATGTCACACACGTCTCAGAATTGGCCTGACTTGGTAAATAGAATCAGAAGCAGCGAAATTATCAAGCGCTGGCTTTGCTTCTTGAATATTGGTTCTTCATGGCCATGATCACTTGATAAGCCGCCTCGCCTGAGACTCACACGACCATATGCGTCACAGCACCAGGTGTACGTTGCCATTGAACCAGGCTCTGTCAATATCTGACGCTTTCGCAACCCGCGTTTTTCCTCTTGGTGCAGTATTACTTTTTCGTGAACGTGAACAACGGATTTCTCGGTGGAATCATGCCATTGGTGACTGCCCATCACCATTGCTTCTAACACCTAAAGTCAATGGCAATTAATGATAATCTCACTTCGATCATATTTTGGTAGTGCAGCCTCAGTTTTCCTTTACTAAATTGGCCATATAGCAGCTATTTCGGTATTCTAGTCGGATCTATGCAACAGACATGTCTCAGTTTCCTCAGGTTTCGCGGTAACAGCACGCAGTCTATTCTATACATGCCACCTTGGTAATACACTTCGTGTCAGGAATTCTTTTACACCAACGGACGCGCTGAATCCGACGCAGACATTACTGGGGAAGTCCTTTTAGGTGGCTCATGTCCCTTTTGTGTGGCGTCCGATTTTCGCTACTGTAATGAAAAACCGATTGCACCATCAACTTGTACACCACCAGCTTTGTCCAAATGGTAAGCTGATGTTTCTTCCATATCCGATGTTCCTTCGACTCGAGGATGCGCAGCTCCCTGGCCATCTGCAAGTCTTTTAACACTTGCTCCCTAGATAGTAAAATGTTGATGAATTCTCCGAAAATTCACGAACAATTTTATTTGCGGGCAGCCCACGGATTCCACTCCTGGTGATGGGTGAAAAGACAGACATTCTTATCTGTGTTGATGTTGAGTCCGAACGTTGGTCGCTGTCGAAGCGAGAGTCGTCGTCATGGGTTGTAACTTGCTGTGTACAAACAACGCAGAGTTGTCAGCAAACAACGATATACGGATGAGAGTTTCACGCACTCGGATTCTTACCTCGAAACGGTGGGTGTTCAGCAACCGACCATGAATATGTTGCTCGAGATGAATATCGTATTCGTAAGTGTTGAAACTACCAGACATCAGGACGGTTAGATAATTACTAAACAGGGTAGGAGCTTAGATACAACTTTGCTTCCCACTAGGGATAACATCAGTCATCCGAAGTTTGTCTACAGAGCTGCACTTTCATGAACCTACCACTGGGCAAACACTCCATTAGACTTACAAACTTACTCGGGCAACCAAACCTACCTAACACCAGTCACAGTTCCCCGCGTTTTACCGTGTCAAATGCCTTGGTGACGTCAACGAACAACAAGTACAATTGCTGGTTTCACTCACGGTAGTTCTCTTGCAATTGACGAGTTGCAAACACCATATCTATCGTATTGTGGTCAGAACGGAATCCGCACTGCTTTTCAGCCGCGTTTGGTTCGAGGATCTGAGTGACGAGACGGTTATGGAGAATTCGAACAGTCACCTTCCCGATGCGACTCAGAAAGTTAATGGCAATAATTGTTGGCACCTTGTTTGCTTTCTCTGCTCCTCTACAGTGGCAGCACAAGCGCATCTTTCAACTCGGGGCGCATTTGCTTTTGAAGCCACACGCGTTGCAGCACATTTATCAACGCGGGTCTGATGTTTTTCACCACTTCTGACGATATCTCATCGACTTCAGCGCACTTTCCCTTCCGTGGCTGGGCGAGTTCCCTCTGTGTTCAATGGAGCCTAGAAGCTTCGGCAAGACCCTTCCTCACCCCCCTGCTATTTCAACCTGTGTAACGCATTACAATGAATCTGAACGGTTATTTAAGAGACAATCGAAGTTCCAGAACTGCATAATGTCTACAGTCTGTGTGCAGTTGGCACCCGAGGCAGTGTCCACCAGCGTTCTCATCTGCTCCATTATAGGTTCTTCAATTAAACACCATATTCATCGATAGTACGAGGCACAGTCCAGTTGTGTCGTCTGACTATTATGTACGGCGGAATCGCATGGAACATAGATTTCTTTGGGTTTTTCTAAGCAGTTTCCAAACTATTTTGGGTTGAGCTGGTCGGTTTAAACTTACAATAATGTTGCGACGCTGTTAATAATAATAAACATGGATAAATCCAAATATTCAAGTGAAGTAATATGGCCAACGGTGGAACCGTCTCTAGGAGACCTGCTTCCGTGCAGGATAGTCCTTCGAAAGTCTACACTCGCACTTCCATGCCTTAGCTGGCCGTGGGCTAATGTGGTTTTAAAGCAGGTTATCTACCACCTATTTGACTCGTGGTAAGGGCTGTTTTTCTGCATATATAGTATGGATACACAAGCCATCTAACCCGTACCGTCAACCGGTTTTTGGGCAAGTACTTTTATTGCTCGCCAATAATGTTCGTGTCAATACGCCTTGCATGGGTTCACTTATTAGCTTGGAAGCCTCAATCCGTCACCTCGGACGATCGATTCAGTCGTGGACGAAATTGGATTAAAGTGGGAGAAAGTGGAAAGGTGATAACGCTAATGATAAGAAATAAGAAAATAGCATTTTTAACTACAGTGCAAAAAAAGCCGACTGCCTTCTCGATAAATTGTCCTGCGAAACCGCTAAAATATACGACTACTCGAATTATCGATATGCAACGCAGTTCTGAAAAATATTTCAGGCTAATCCGTCGGTTGCATGCGTTCGAAAAATGTGGAATTTGATAGTGCCGAGCACTGGTACTTGATATCAGCTCCTGGGCGGTTGTCCCTAAAAAAGAAGAAGGGATATTTAACATGACAGGACCAATATAAACATAAATAAAAATAGTTTATGGTCCGACAGAGCGAGACACGGACCATGTGATTGATTCGATCAATTTTTGCAGTTGCATCGTCTATAACCGTTTCTGTTCAAGCTGTTCACAAGAAAAGAGCTTCCGGGTCGATGCTTCAGTGGTTCAATCATTTGGCGCAGCCAAGGTGTGTAGGAATTGATATTGACCAGTGTTAAGTATCACTCCGCAGTTTGTGTACCGACACCTCCGAACAGAAAACAGAGTTCTTCAAAAATACGAAAACTGGTTCGTTCACAAATAAGTAAATATTAAGATGCACACAACCCTATAAAAAGTTCCCTCGAATTTTATTATCTAGAAATGGAATTATGAGTTAGGTTTTGCAAAGCTCAATGTGGCATTGCCCCCTGTTGTACCGCGACAGGCTAGGATGGTTTCATCAGGCTAAAAGTTGCAAAGGGTCAAAAGGCGTAGCATTACATCTGCTCCGCCTTCTCTGTCCAACATACATTTCTGATTCGATGTATCTCCCTAGTCCAAGGCCCACACAATTTGCCTACTCTATTTATCTTAGTCTTCATGGTCTCCCTCATGCACAAAGGCTGCATTCTTCTTTGATATCAAGGCGTTAATGGTCACACTGTTGTTTTCAAACTAATCGGACCGCTTATTTTTCGCGCTCGGTTGTTTATTCGGCCGTAACGGTCACCCGATTCTTGGATGTAGTGTCACAGATCGCCGATTGAAGCCATAGAATGTGTACATCTCAGCCATTGTGCCGTAATATGTGAGAAAAGTAACGAAAACACGGAACAGAGGCACATCAGCTGAGCCATCAGTAACGGATGAACATTGTTCCGGAGAGCTAGCAGCCAGCTATTATGTCGCAAAAAGGTTATATTATGCTTACAAAATGAGATCCTGGTGGGGAGAAAAAGAAAAGCGGGAGGGGAAAGAACAAATAACTCATCACACAAGCGCCATTGAGGTCAGCTTCTAGCCATGTAACAAGTGTATCCACCAAATGTACTCATCATCTTTCGGACCCCAACCAGGAAGCCGAGAGGTTCCAACTGAGATCAACTTTGAAGTCATCGCTTGGCCTCCCTTCCTCTTCTTCCATCCACACACCTGGCGCGCGAAAACGCACCTCTTGGATGTCAGTGTGCTGGCATGCACAACACGTGGCCCCGCTATCCGAGCCTTGTGTGTGAAATCACGGTGCTGATCGGTTCATTTCCTCTTCCTGTGCCATAAACCAGGTACCGAACACGATCATTGCTCAAGTGGTGTTCTCACCAGATACGAACCAAACTGCGAAGGTACCGGTGGTCGAACGTTACTTGCATCTTTACGTTTGCCGATCCCCAAAATGATCCTAGGGTGCTCATTCAGATTCAGGATCAGTGTCATTATCTCCAACTTAACCCACTCTAGCTTCGACGACCGAAGGTCAAACCCACTCTTTTCTACAGTATCACAACATTTGCGAGTTTTCCCATGCAGTATGACTAACGTTCTTCAAAATGCCCCAACTTATCTCACTCGTAATAGGAAATACGTGCTAGCCTTACGGAAGTTCAATCAAAATATTCGTTTTAATTTTTCCTGCGGAATTCGCTACCACTGCAATCAAGAACAACTTGTAACTTGTCTGCATTCACATCTCGC